AAAGCAAAGCACCAGGTTTTGTTTATATTTGTTATGAGAAGGGTATAAATAAGGCATAAATGCAGATTCCTTTCACAGATAAAGAAGTTACTCCCCAACCCCCACCAGCTTGTCAAAACTTTTTTTCAGAGATTAAAACTTTAGTGCTATCTTAGTGGCTTGTGTACAGTGGCAGGATGTTCTGGGACTTCAATACCAATTTCTGACACTGGGTGGATCTCTGAAGTCAGGAGAACAAGTAAATCTTTAATAGACACTGTTTTGGCATGAGAAGAGTGGATTGGGCTCCACCCTGTTTGTTAGTGTCTTGATTTCTCCATTTTTAATCTGCTTCAGGACAGAATGACTTCCTGTGGCATTTACTGTTGTTGACTGAAAGAATGGGAATAAGTTATCACAGCAAAGAAAAAAGCAGAATACTCAGTGCAATAGTCTTTCTGATGAGAAACTTCAGTTGCTGAAGGGAATCTGCAATTCTTTGTCATAGGACTTAAACTCATCTTACTTTTGAAATACTTTTTCTGCACCAGTTCTGCTGAATCTGGACTGAAGAGAGAAAGGTAAGGGATATTGCTGCTTAACTTTTGAACACATGTTGTTATAGCCACGTGTTTTTGGTAAAACTTTCTTTCCTTATTCCATAGTTTTAGTTTTCCAGGATATTTTCACATTTCATACTTAATTATCCAGTTTCTAAACTGAAAAAATCTTCAGTTCCCTAGCAGTGTTTGAAGTTGGATGTGTGGGTATTTGCCCTGGGAGAACCAGGACCAAAATTCTGTACTGCCAAAGTCAAAATGTTGTATTTGCATGACTTATTTTTTTGATTTAGTAAGTATTGAATGATACAAAACTCATTCTTTATTAAAAAGTAGATTTCCCAAAATCCAGTTGATTGATCACAGAGTGCTTGCTGCTTTTGTCTATCTGTAAAATACAGCTAAATCTGTAGTGCACTTGCCAAGTCCATTATCCTCTAACATTTATCTCTCTGAGGAAATAGTATTTATCTGGTTTAACAAAAAACTGAACATTTGCCTAGGTTAGACACAATATATAATTTTTCAGATACAATCTTACAAATACAAGTTTACAATCTACAGCGAATCTAAGAATTACGAGTTTTAATTTATATTATAAACTTCATAATAATTGCTGCAGAGTATGTAAGAAAAATAATTATCTTCAAAAACACAAGATACCAGTGCTGTCCATAGTAGTTTTTAATAGGCTGCAACTGAAGTGTAGAGTCTTTTGTGGCACAAGATCAAATCAATACAAGATTTCTACATTGCATTAAATGTGGAAGGTTTGCATTCAACCCACAGCTGGCTATTTCCCTCATGACCTTTCCTTATAACTTCTTTGGTAGTTATATGGGTAACAACTGAATGATTTTATCATTTATATTAATATATTATTTATAATATATTTCTATTATATATTTTTTTCTTATTTATATTATATCCTTAGGGTTCAAGGCAACTTTTACAAATGTTTAATGAAATGTTTAATAAAATGCTTCACTGTGTTTAAAAAAAAGGCAGATCATCTGGTTTTATGTTGTTGTTAAGTTTTTCATGTGACCTGCAACAAGGCATTGACCAGTATTACTTCCCTTCCTTAAATTTTGCCAATTTGTGAAGTTTTTTTAACTTTGTATGATTAACTGCTATAGAAATGTAAAGTACTTGTTGCTAATTCAGAGAGACACAATATCCTCAGTATTTAAGCTTATGTGTTTGTAGCTGATGCTTGTGCCTTTCACCTGTATATAACACCCTGCCATAATGTAACACTAATAGTGCCTTTATTCAATTTTAATATTCATATTAATTTTGATACTTCATTTTCTACTATGCCATGTTTTTAGTAACATAAAAAGATGAAATAAAGTTCAAGGTTATTTAAGATGCATTTTACATGCTTAAGTAGATTGTATATGATGGATTATAAATGTAAACTAAGAAATATAACTACAGAAAAGCAATGTGATAACTATTTTTCTATACTTCCATAGTCAGAACTGAATTAAATACATATGCAGCAGGCTCTACCGTGCCTCCAATCTTAATCAACTGAAACAGACATAAATGAGGACTACACTGAATAGTGGATAAAGTGAAGAGATGGTTACTGTATTTCTCCTATCAGAACTATCAGGAGCTTATCAGTATTCAACATATAGTTTCATTCATCCATTTGATGGTGTTGTAATCATCTCCCTTGAGTTTTTGGGTCAGTCCTCACATTGTATCACCACATCTTCCCTGACTTGCATGGCATTGCAGCATCATACAGCCACAAAGGGTTCACACCAAAATGCATGAAGTCTGTTTCGTTACAAAAGCATCCCACTCTCTTCACCTGGAAAAGGCAGAGAACTGGAGTCACTGTAGCTTAGAGCAACTGAAAACAATGCTGGCAAAAGGCAGTAGGGAAGATACAAATTCATATCCTGACTGGAGGCCCAACAGATGAAACACTATCACCCACCGATTACACTGGCAGAGTTTACCCTTCAAACAGCCATTGTGTGGTTTAGTGCCCTTTTATTTCAGATGCAGATAGAAACATTATGAGCAACTGCTTGAAAAGTCTCAGTCAAAAACCGTTTACATTGACACAGCATTTTGGTACTTGAGCTACTGTTCAAAGAATACATAATTTACCATCCTATTAAGGAGATTATTTTTGAAATGAACCACAACTTTGCATTGCTCCTCATCTTCCAGTGACTCACAGTGTGGTCTATGTTTTTAACCTCTACACTAAAACATAAATTCACAAACAGTTGGACTTGATAGCCTGTTCATATGGTTTCTCTATTAGGAAGAAATGTTAAGGGATACTACAAATTATTTTTCCTTTTGCTAAGTGCTGCTGAGCTAATATCAAAACATACCAGTTGTAACTGATTTTTTTGGGTTTTGTTTGTTGGCTTGTTTTTTGTTTGTTAGAGGGGTTTTTTGTTTGCTTTTGTTGGAAAGCTTCTAAAGTCAGTACAGAATGCAAACAAATCTCTTGTAATACAGGCATCCCCAAGAAAATACATTAGTCTGCTGGTCAGAATAGTCAGTTAAAAATAGTAAATCAAATTTCCATCCTTGTTCTGCTTAGTTCTGGCAAATCATGACTAGTTAGCATTGGTCTTCTATGTGCCCAGTGATTTCCAAGTTGTTGATAAAACTGTCATGTCTGCAGTCAGACATATTTTTTTGAGCTCATTACATTCAATCTTGATAACAAGAAGACACAAAAAATGTTTTAAAAATGCTTGGCAAACTTGCAAGAATCCAGGCCTGGTCACTAACAACCTGGAGGCAATATTTTTTTATTAAGATTTTATTCCATATCTTGATGTAGCTTTGGTTGACCCCCTCACCTCCCAGTATCTCTACAAATTATTTTAAGCACAATGAAAGTTAGTCACCTTAAATCTTTAGCAGTACTTACCAGAACTGTCTGCTAAACAACCTAGAGGTAAATGTGACGGTTCTTGAGCCAAAGATCTGTCCTAGTTTAGACTGGGATAGAGTTAATTTTTTCTTGGTACCTGGTACATTCAAAAACAAACATGAAAAAATACCCTTGCAAAAACAAAACACTAACAAACAAAAAACCCACAAAAGACCTCTAACAAGAAAATCCAAAACAGCTGTGAGGGAGCATAGCTTGGACAGTTTACCTGAACTGGCAAAAAAGGCCATTCCACACTATAGACCATCCTGCATAAACTGAGGGAGTTACCTGTAAGGGGGGCTACCTGGAGTTCAGGGATGGCATCTGGAATCAGTCAGCAGATGATGAGCTATTGCTTTGTTCATCACTTGTTTTTTCCTCTTTATTGTCATTATTATTACTTTTTTTCCTTTATTTCAATTATTAAACTGTTCTTATATCAACCTTCAAGTTTTGCTTTTGATTCTCCTCCCCATTCCGCCAGAGTGGGGAGGAAGTAAGCAAGTAACTGCGGGGTTCTTAGTTGCCAACAGGGTTTAAACCCCAACAACACCCTAAAATCTAACTATGACCACTTGGGAAAAAATATATACTTGCATAGTTTTATCACTACTTCTTAGTCTGCCTAAACAAGTTAAACTGCTGATTTGAATCATTATGTATGACAAGTTACACTACTTGCTGTGGCAGATGTGGAGGACATGAGTTTTCACAGGATAAAAACGTATGTAACTTAGTGATTCTGAATCATTTAAAAGTTATCTCAATCTAAGAGCCAGCCATTCCTGTTCCCTGCATAGCTATAATTCTGCATAGACTATGCTCTACATCATGCAGCAGAGATGCAGTTCTTACGCCAGTCAGTGGTACTCTACCAAGCACACCCTTGAAGAGACCAGTCTCCTCTCCTGAAGTCCGGAGCAGTGAGCTTGCTGTGCACCCTCCTCACTGCCATAGGTATCCTGAAAGCCACCATTCCATGGTCACAAGCTGCCCTTGGCATCATGTGCCACAGCAGCCCCTCCTTGTAGGGGAGAGCAAGGCCCAGCAAAGAACCTCTCCTTGCTGGCTTCCGTGTCACTTGGAGAAGGAAGTTATTATCAACACACTTCAGGAACCTCTTGTATTGCTCATGGCCTGCTGTGTTGTCCTTCCAATAGATATTCTTGCAGTTGAAGTCCCTTGGGAAGGTGAGAGCTTGTGAATGTGAGGAAGCTCCTATCTGTCGCTGAAAAGATGCATCCTTCTGGTATGTCTGAGAATCTGTATCCTTCCATTCTAACACTGGTCACAGAAGCCATCCCACCATGTCTCCATGGTTCCAGTAAGAGCATGGCTCTGCAGGCACGTGCACATCTCTAACTCCAGATGTTTATTCCCTGTGCTGTGTGCGTTTGCATAAAGCCATTTAAGGCAGATCCCCTGATGAAGCCAACTCATTGGCTGGGGTGGCTGGAATTCCTTTGTGCTGCTCTTCAGGTGCTCTCCTGCTAACCTATTGTTGCCTAAAATCAGATGAAAAACTTTCCAAACAATATTAGAATGAATAACATAAAGAACAGTCTTTTAATGAAAGCTTTCAGGTGCACAGATTATCGCTATGCACACATGCAGCATCAGATTTCCACAAGTTTTATAAGTTTAATTACTATATCTAGCCAGTATATCCAATGGGAGACTGGTTGCCCTGGTACCCCACCCTTGGACCTGCCCCACTGGAGTCCCTCCAAAGGGTTATTAGCCCTGTATTTTGTTATGTCTCCCAGGTGCTGGTGGAAAACAAGACGTCCTTGTTGGAAATTCTTTTACTCCAAAATAAAACACAGCATAAACACATAGTTAAAAGGTGGGTCACTTGTAATAAATGACTGGAAAAAGGACAATTAGGCTACTATGAATAAATCTAATTTGTGTCAATGTTCTTGGATAAATTCATTTAACATAAAGCAAAAGCCTATCCATGCATACTTAATTAATGTAATACTTAAAGCTTCATTCAAAGTTCTGGTTTTTTTGGTAAGCAATTTGGATATTTATTCTTCATTTGCTGCTTTATAGTCCACTATGCAAATCCTGGTATGAATAGTTTTGCTATAGTGTTAAGCACTGACATTTTTAACTGTCTCAAAAATGTTAGGAATTCATCTGTATAGCATTTTCATCTTTTGGTATGAAAATTACTGTTTGCAATTTGGTTGGTATTTTCACAGGCAACTGCTAATTATGAATGCTCTACTTAAGATGAATATTTATCTGCAGTATTACTTTTCCCTTCCAGCAGTGTAACTTTTCCCCTTCTGTTTTCTGTAGCTATCTAAATACACTATCAGCATAAAATTTTACAGTCTTACTATGTTGTCTTTTCTAAGAGTGTGACTATTATTCAAGGCCCTTGTGAACAGCTATACTTAATACAATATCAACAATGTTTACAGGGTTTTAATTTCATGTATTGAACAGTGTTTTGTCTTCAGTCAGTTTTTGGTTATTGAGAAAACAAGATTAACAACAAAGAATAAAAGATGTTTAAATTAGTATTTAACTTTGAAGGTATATTATTCATAATGTATTCTATCAAGCATAAATATGAATAATGTTCTAAGTGGTGAAGAGAAATGGAAAGTTCTATCTCAGAGATACAAAAAAAAGGCAGAAAGCCTACTTCTAAAATTGTCTCAAAAGTTTAGAAATGTTATGCTGTATAATGGCAAATCTATGAAATTCCTAGGAAAAGAATGAGTGTCAAAGAGTTATTAGCATGCTGTGTACAGTAACATTATTATCTTCTTTCTGTTGCACTCCTTTAATCATCTCACATTCCTGCCTCTTATTAAATCATACTTACTTTTTTTTTCTCCTAGACTCTGCACTGGCCGTGCGTGAGGAAAAGCTTTCAGATCTATATGCCGTAAGCAACTGTTACTTGCTGGTTTTTTAATTATTGAGCTTATCACTACTATTAGGTGTAAATAAGGAATGGGAGAAGGGTCATAAGTAAAAACTGATTATGAAATTAATGTATTGCATATATTAGGTATACATAGTGCTTTTCTGACTGATTCAGGATGGCTTTTTAAATACATTCATTCTGTATTCACAATACTGTAAGCATCTAGATGGCCATTTAATTTTTTTAAAAACCTAGCTTTTAATAATTAAAAATTATGTTGTTGTTGCTATTATTATCATTGTTACAGGAATTAGTGAAAAAAAAAAGGGACAACATTTAGAAAAGAGGAATTTAAACACAATATATGGGGCAGTTACAGAACTGTTGTAGACATTACTTTCAAAACTGTAGCTACTTCTTTCAGCTTCCAAATGTAGAAAGAAGT